ACATGAACTCAACAAATTTAGGATTAATACTCCCATTCTCAGAAAATCTTGAAAAAGCAGGGTTACAACATTTATTTCACTCATTCACTTATAAAATCATTCAACAAATCTTTATAGATTGTCTATAAAAACTGTAGACTAAAATGACAAAGACAATATTAACAAGATTATTTCTATGTGAATCAAGTTTAATCAGCTCTAATATTTTCTTTTCTGGTGCTCAAGAGGATTGAAACCAGAGCCTCATGTGTACTAGGCAAGAGGTAAACCACTTAGTTACATTCCTCACTCCTTAATGTATTTTAGGACTTTTTTGTTAATATATTGTTATGTTAATAGTAAATAGCAGTATCAAAATAAGTTCTGATTGATTTTCACCCTAATTTCTTGCCAAAAAACCACAAGAATGCTGCCAAATCTGCATTTCATGCAACGCATTATAAGCGATTACCAACTAATGTTGAAAAATAATGTTTATTGAGCCCAGTGAGAAATAAATATTAAATTTCCATAGTTTTACCTGGAAAAGGGGTTCTTAAGGCTCTTTTATAACAGAAACATCATTTATAAGGTATAGTGAACATTTTAAATACAAGTTTAAAAGATTTAATTAAAATTAATTTATTTTTATAGATAGTATTTTAATTTCTTTTCATAAATATTGTTGTCAAGGTCTTTTCCCTTGAAAAAGAAAGTAAACATACATGTCATTAACTAAGCAAATTAACAAATGATAAGGACTTTATACAAAGTGACAATTTCCCAGTTTGGAGATGGAAACTATAAAATGACTTCTAAAACCACTTTTAGAATATACCTGAGGAGCTAAGCTTCAGATTGTTCTTCAAAGTTTATAATTCAGACTTTTAAAAAAATGACCTTTGTAAAATAAAAACAAAACAAATTAGAAAATCTGATTTCGTGGTTGAAGAATAGATACAATATTTGGAGCACAAATCCATGGACATAATTTGAGAGCACAAACTAGAAATTACATTCTACCTACAGAATCTTTACCATTAATAACAGCCATTTTTGTGTAAGACATAAGAGCCACCATGCTTTCGGTTCCTAATTTAGAAAATGTGGATAATGATAGTCCTTTCATACCATTGGTGTGCAGCTATTAGGTTAAGTTTGTTACTAATAATCTTCTGAGAAAGAATTTTATTTTTCCATTTCGTAGTTCAGACATCCAAGACTGAGAAGCTGAGAAAACAGCCCACAGTGAAAATAGTGCCAGGGTTGCATTCAAACCCGGGTCCTTCAGACTCTCATATTTACTTCAGAAGTGGATGCTACTTTTGTGGAAGCATTTCCAGAAGATTCTCATATATAAAATAGAAGCATATTTGCCTTTTATCTTGCAGTAACAGATTTCTGATGTACATAATAATTATATATACCAGGGCCAGGAATTTAGCTCAGTGGTGCTGTCATCTGCCTCACAAGCACAAGGTCCTGAGTTTGATCCCCAGTGCCAATAAATAAATAAATATGTATAACAGAAGTAGAACATAGGTAACCCTTCACATAAAAACTTAAAAATTATGATTTAAAAATATATAATCCTGTTATCACAGGAAAAACACTCATCCTTCTACCAACAAATGACAACAAATACATTCTAAGTACTTAGATTGGGTAAATTTTTGACTCTCAAATATTTAAGTTGTGGGTTTATGTACATAGATATATGAGAAAACCTATAATAAAATGGCAATAAGAATTCACTGAAGGCAATTGCTCTGAAAAATGTTACCATAATTTACTACAGAAAAACATCCAGCTAGAACTGTTTGCATGGAATAAGATGAACAGCCTCTATTAATGCTAATTGAAATTCTCATATTCCCACATACCATGCATAAAATTTACTTCTACACTTATTCTTTCCACCTCTTAACCGTAATAAGTCCATGCCAATGTACTAGCTTTTTAATTTCAGCATTCATGCATGCAAATTGATACCTTTTTTGGATGATGATATTGACAAATTTAATACAGGTGAAATCCCACTATTTGCAAAGCAGACAAGGTCCTAATTGTGATTTTTCAAAAAGAGCAAAAACTGAATTTTCTGGTTTAAGAATTCTATTAAAAGCTGAAATTTATTTCTCAATGTTTGCTATTTCAATAATATTGTTAAAATAAACATGAGTACTAATGCTTGTGAACAAGATGGCTACAATTTAATTCCCATATACAAAAAAACAAATAAAATAAAATGACTAGTATAGTATTCCTCATATCCACAATGAATAAGGATTCCAATCTCTATATTTGTTATATATATATACATATAATATATACATACATATATAGAAAGGGAGTGTATACACATATATGTATAACAGTATATACATATTCATAAGTGTATTGATTTATGCTAGAAATATCTTTTGGCAAGTCTCTAAACATATGAGTCTATGGTACTATCTTTCTCTTTAAGGACTATCTTTCTCTTTATGGTACTATCTTTCTTTCTGTATCTTAGAGTATAAAATCTAAATTAAGAATTTGGATGAGCTTATTGAGTTAAAACCTCAGTTAAGAGGACCAGTGGAACAGATTAGAAGATGCAGCCCAAATGCTTGGATCAAGAAAATGTGGTTTGTTTTTTTTGTATAAAATGGAGTACTACTCAGCCATAAAAAATGATAAATTGGAGACATTTATAGCTAAATGGATGCACATTGAGGCGATACTCTTAAGTGAAATAAATAGGACATACATGTATAAATACCAAATAGTTTCTCTAGTGTGAGAAACTGAAAGTGTAAATAAGGACTGAAAGTTATAATGGATAATGTGAAATAGGAAGGAAAGGGGCAAAGGGGAAGGGGAAGGGGAAGTGGAAGGGATAGAGGAAAGGAAAGAAGGGAATGGAATTACTATAAGAAAATGAAAAAATGGAAACAAAGTCTTTGTAAATAGGGAGGGATGGAGGGGTCGAAAGGAGGGCAGGGGAAGGGGGAAAAATAAGAACCAAGAGAGATTATGTAAAGGTGCAAATTTCCAATGATGAATGTCATTATATTGTATATCTAAAATGTACCAAAGATTAGAATGAATAATTGATAATGCAAAATAGGAAGAAAAGGTCCAAAGGGGTAGGGGAAGTGGGAGGGTTAGGGGAAAGGAAAGAAGGGAAAGGAAAAATTATGAGAAATGGAAAAAAAAGGAAACAAAGTCTTTATAAATAGGGAAGGGTGGAGGGGGTGAAGGGAGGGCAAGCAATGGGGAAAAAATAAGAACCAAGATCCATCATGTACAGGTACAAGTTCCCAATGAGAAATGTAAATGTATTGTATACCTAAAATGTACCAATAAAAGAATTTAAGAGGAAAAAAAAGAATAACACTGTTATGAAATAACAGCTTTCCTAGATGACTAAAATTGACTGATTCCTGCTGAGGTTCTCAACTGCAGTGCACTGAGTGTAAAAACCTTAGCTGTACAACAGCGAACCAGAAGATGCAGTTGGTTTAGGAGATTTTTCTTGGAGGTTTAATAAGAAGTGGCTTTTGATGCCATTGCATATTTAGGCTTTTCTTTCCATAAAAGCCAATTCAAAATATTAACAGCATCGCTGATTACGGAAGCAAGTGTGGTCATTCTGGTTGAAGCCTTCTATAAATTATAGAAAATGGCAACTATTTTGTCATTCTACCTGCAGAAGTGCAGAAAGCCATTCATGCAATCAACAAAGAACTATGAGCCTTAAGTATATACACTGGCACTGGTTAGATAAGTATATAATAAAAATGTATATAAGGGCAAAGTCATTGACTATAAAATCTTACAATCTAGCTCTTGAAAATATGTGTAAATAATGGACTAAGAAAGCAGAACAGTATGCTAGTAAAAGTATGGCAAAAATGCAGAAAATAAAAAATATTAACAGGTGAACTCTAATTGATAAAAATAATTCATTTTTGGAACTATTTTATTACCAAAATTCATAAACGTCTATCTTAATTTTATATTTTATCTTGGACATCATTATTATGGCCTGTTCCAAAATTTTACTTTTTTATTGGTACGTTTTAGATATACAGTATAGTGACATTCATCATTGGAAATTTGTACCTTTATGTAATCTATCTTGGTTCTTATTTTTTTCCCCATTCCTCTGCCCTCCCTTCAACCCCTCCATCCCTCCCTATTTACAAAGACTTTGTTTTCATTTTTTCATTTTCTCATATTAATTCCATTCCCTTTCCTTTCTCCTACCCCTCCCACAAAATTTAACTTTTAAATGAAGATAAGCCCACTCAGTTGTGTAAATAGAAATGCAAAAAAAATTTAAATGCTACTTATGGGACTCTTTAAACAACATTAAAATCAAACATTCTGTTCCAGTAGGGAAATGGACACTTAAAGAATCAAAATTAAAGATTATCGCAAGCATGCTTAAAATTGTTTTGCATTATTGTTTCTTATAAAAATTGAGATATTTTTGTACTTATTAGTTATGAGTATTTTCCTGATGTATCAAGTAGGTTCACTCAGACTTACAAACCCTCAAACTGACAATATCCCCCATAGGGGTGTCATATACAGTGCTCTGTGTGGTGAAGAAATGAAGCACTGTAGCATGATATCATGGTAACCCTTCGACATGTTCCAAGTGGGAAGCACTTTTGAGGGCATTTCCCAATTAATTACAATGAACAGAACTCTCTTTTAGCAGAGGTTTTGTGTTCTTCACTATGCAAAGAACTAACCAGCTTGTAATCACAAACACCCCAAAAAGAAGAAGGACTCAAGGATGGAGTCAAGCTGCACAAGGGTGGAGTCAGTTTCTTATAGTTACATTTTTAGATCTGAAAGTGATTACCTTCGATCTTTCTAAGATGGAAAGACAAGGAATAATCTTTTAAGTACACAGGCTGGAAGAAAGACCACAAAAGAAGTCTAATCCAAATGTATAATAAACTTATTAAAAGCAAACTACATGTATCTCTCTTTAGAAGACTGTTAAAAGTCAATCTTACCTGATCTACTATCCAGGGGTCCAAAATCCAAAGAATATTTCACGACATGATAGTTATTCCATACATAAAGTAAGTTGTCCCTGGGATTGTAATCCACAGCTGCTATGTACTGGTATGAATTGGGGAAAGGTACATCCACCAAACTATCCTTGCTTTGGTCAGTGTTGTAAATGTAGTCAATCTTATTCCCAGTGGCCTCATTGTCATCATCCTCGTACACAGATTTGACCACATACAGAATCCCACAGATCATAAATGCATTGGAAGCTGACCTTTTATCATATGCTGTATCCCATGTCCCTTCAATCCGTAGTGTGTAAGGGTTCAATTGACTAATGACAATTTTCCCATTGTTTTGTTCTGTTGCATAGATTACCCACAGCCCATTTTCATCCACTGCTAGGTCTATGTCTGATTTGCCTCCCCATCGGTAAGGGGAAGTATCATGGTAATTGGCATTCGCTATGATTGCTTCTCCACTCTTGATCCTAGTCCGCAAGTCAAACTTAACTATGTTCCTGGTGCGCTCTTTATTGAAGAACAAAGCTCCATCATACACTACAAATCCTGTGCCATCCACCCTATGAGGGAGCTTGTAGGTAGTCGTTGGCCTTCCGGCAATGAAGTCATCTTTGGATGAGTACTCAGTCAGGGTATCGGTTCGGTAAGGAGTCCAGGGCATATAGTAAATCTTGTCAGAGGCCTGAAGAGGGTCTTTGCACCATGCCCCAGACTGGTGGTCAGACTCAAACAAATGTTCACTCTGGTATACTCCTTTCAGTAGTCCGGGACAAAGAAAAACTGTTGGAAGGGAAAGAATTAGAACAAGAAATATATTAATTTAATATATAGTCTTATTTTTCACCAAACAGGATGCAAATATAACAAGAGGCACCCACCACCACTTATTTTGCTGTATTTCTTTAAGACACAAGGTTTTTGTCCATGTTAATTTTGGCTGTTTTTCCAAATCACTTTGATTTCTTTTCAGAAAACAAGTTTAGCCTTTTTATGAGTAGCTGTACTTTCCTGTGGTTTTTTACTTTTGTAAATATGTATAATACTATTTTGTATTATATATATATAGACACACACACACATACACACACACACACACACACATCCCCATAGGATGTCTATGCATTCTATAGACATAACAAATACAAAAGTTTATAGATAAGATTTTTTGTTAGTTCATTGAAAAATAGATCCTTTTTCAGAAATGAAAATATATTGTTTCCACTCTGACAAAATTATCTTTTTAACAGTTATCCTTAAGAAACAGATGGATTTCTCACAATAATTTTTTAAATAAAGAAAAAAATTCTAGAATACAGGCCACTGAATCTTCTAGTTAAAAAAGCTCTTGAAGCTGCTACAACACACACAGAGCATGCAACCCACACAATTAAAAATGAGTGATGGATGAATACTGGAAGAAAAAAGAGAGGAAGAAAAAGAAAGGAAAGAAGGAATAAGGAAAGAAGAAAAGGTATAAAGTTACAGAAAAGAACCCAAGCTCTAGATTTTAATCAGTTAAAAATGTCCTGTTAAATACAGTAGTATTGGAACTTAAAAACATGTACCTTTTACTGTTATATGAGAAAAGCATTAAAAAACAAGATTACTTGCTATATTTTGCTGCTCATACTTCAGAATGAAAGAGGGCAGTAATCATCTGGCTCACTTGCTTTTTAGTAAGATTCAGTAGCATGTTGTGAGGGTGGCAGTAGTGAAGCTTGGCTGATTCATCTGAAATGAAGGGGCTCTAAAGCAATGTTTCCCAAAGGGTGGTCCTTGAAGTGACTGTTTCAAGTGGTGTAACTAGATGTTTCACAGAAAGAAAAAGAGGAATCTAGAGCCATACTGTTGAAGAAATATCATACTAAATATAATTGTGGCAGAGATTCAAATAGCTTATGTACTTTAGTGAATCTCCAAGGCACCGTTGGGAGGGGTAGCAAATCTCCCAAGCTCATTTGCTCTTGGAATCTTTTCCAAGGAACCTCTTTGGATTGTGGCATTCTGCTGAACCTGCTATGGGAAACACTGCTTTAATATATTTGCGAAGCAAACACGCTGAAAAATCATCATGCAGTCTACTGCTGTGTTTGAAACAATCAGAAGTGTGGGATGGAGAAATTGGGAAATCACAGGAATTTGGACAATGACCCATTTTTTAATGATTAAACTATTACTATTTCAGCATTAGTGATTAGCTTTTTAATAGCAATAATAACCATAGATCCAATGGAAAACAGTGTAAGTTGGAACAGCTAGGTTTTGGAGATTGTAGAAAAAATATATATATTGCTCACATTTCCAAAGTTTTATTTTTGAGGAAATGAAGAGTGTGAGGGAAAAGCTGGCTACTAAAATATTCCACGGAACATACAGAGGACCATTATCAATTTATGATCTGTAATAAAATCAATAAAATATGCAGTTATAAAAACTTTGTAAGGATCTTTTCATGATTGCTTTAACTGAAAAGCATAGTTATGCTTTGGGGCCAAGAATTTAGCTCAGTGGCACCACACCTGCCTTACTGAGTTCAACCCCCAGTACAAAAACAAAAAAGAATAGTTATCCTTTGTTGTCCAAATTTTACATAATTTTGTGCTATAGTTAATAATCAGCCCTTAGTTACTAAACTAATTTAGTAGATTAAAAAATAACTATCTCCCTCTCCTCCCAGTAGTTAAAAATTAATGCACACCCAGAAACAAATCTAAACCAATAACTATTCATCACATTTACTGGATTTCTAACTACTTATTTAAAAATTAAGAGGAATAAAATACAGTGTTGAAAATTTTACAATATTAAACTGTGTTAGGATGAGAAGATCAAACCAGCACTGGTCAGGAAAACATATAAAAGTGAAGTTGAGCAGCAGAAGTAGTAAATAAAATCTCATAAAATAGATAAGAATTAATAACAAAATTATTTTAACTAAATGTTAAACTGTTAAATAACTTAGCCTATAAATAGTATATAATTTATAAAAGGTATTCAATTACCTTTTTGTTCCACTTCTATTGGAGAGAGAGAAGTAAAGAGAGAAAGGAGAAAAGAGAATAGATTAATGGTACGGTATTGGCCAAGCACTTATTATTCACCTCTTCCAAACTGAAAGTAAATAATTTTCTTCACTCATACTTGCTTCATTGAACATTGTTTTTTTAAAAGCCCATTTCTCTAATACAATTATTGCTTTAAAGTAATCGTATTATAAACTTTAAAATTCAGAATAAATATGGTGAAAATCAATCTAAGAATAAACACATCCTTATATAGACATAGGAAATGCAGTATTTATAATAAGAATATCAATATTTCCATTCAAAAAAGATCAGCAATTACATAGACATAAAGCTTTCAAATAGTTTGATTCATTTCACTTATAAATATTATGGTTTTATACCACTATTTAATGTAATAGTCTTGGTTTTCATGGTGCTTTAAGAATTGATCTCTTCAGAAGAAACATGTCCATAATTCATTCCTAGGGCCTAAGATTTCTGTAGCTTGTCAGTCTTATGAGGTACATAGTAACAGGCAAGATGCTTCTCCAATTAATGGACTTAGAGTCCTTATTAAAGAAACTTCTGTCTGACTCACCCATATTTGATATTACTGTGGAAACATACTATCTAAGAGAAATCTGATATCAGAAGGGTCATATAAATAATGAGCCACTGACTCTGGCCTTCTCTGAAATTTTTATCTAAAAATGTTTTTATCTTCCATAAGTAATATGGGATTCTCAAAGATTTTATACATATATATGTATATCTTATTTTAAATTTTATTATTTTTAGAGGACTGATAGATACAAGACAGTGAAAATTCTGAAAAACTGTAACATATTCCTGACAGTCACAAGCAGCACTTTATCTTAAAAACGGTTGTCTCATTAGATACGACTTGCCTATATCTTAATGAGAAAAAAGAAACTAACAAGAAAAAAGCAAAGATATCAGGGAGAATGGCTTCATAATAAAAACTAAAAATTATACCTAATGTAATATGAAGGCAATTTTAGTGGAAGGGATGAACTGATATATTAGGCTTAGTAAATAAAGTGAAAACCAGGAAGTTTAAAAAACGAGAAAGAAATACTATTCTCAGTAATTATATTTGGGTGACATTTTTGTGCTTTGATTTAAACTTTTTTTCTATCCACTGACTTTACTTTGAAATCTCAATCTCACGTTTGAAGAAAAATTGATACATTAAAAATTTTTGCCTGAAAAGATATATTTCACTAATTATAAATCCTATTTTTAACAGTCTTTCCTAGAGCTCTTTTAAAAACTCTATTATTACATTACAATTTATCATCATTTTCAATTACTCTTCATTCAGTGACTTCATGGTTCAGTCTGTCTGACCCCATACAGGCCGCATAAAAGCTTTATTCTAAGAGATGTACTTCACGTATCCACTAAAATACTGACCTGTATTGAAACTGACAAGGAGAAGACCTTACACCTTAAAGAAGGATTTCATCAATAGTTTCAAAAGTTTGAAGTTGAGGCTCATTACAGTGAAGATTGGGGATGGAGATGGGAAATGACAGTAAGTTGTCATTTGTCAATTTCTAGTCTATAAAGGATTTTCAACTACAATATTTTGGTTCCTTGAAATAGCTTCAAATACAAATCCTTTTGAGAATTGAATTTGGATCATTTATATTGTGAAACATGTAGGCTTCCAAAGTTAGAAATATTTCACATAAAATTTGTAGACATTCAAGAAGACAAATATCTTAACTTCTCTGTGAATGACATTTCTCTTTAACAATTACTTAATGCAAAAGACAAGATATGTAACAAAGAATAGTGATCATGTTCCTAATATATTATGCAAATACTGTCTTACCATTTAATGGAAATTTTTGTTTATCAAAGAATTTTGATGTCTATTATTTCAACTGTCATTTGGTAAATTTTACTTTTAATTCTATGGTTCTGATCTAATTTCAAAGACACTGGCATAAACTGTAGCTAGTAAAGCTTGCCTCTTACTTGGTTTCTAAAAATTAAGATTTATTAGGCAGTTCTGCTCTGGAGAAATTTATTATGGCCCTGTTCATGTCATGACTGGCTGAAGCTCATTTATCATTTATTTGCTATTTTCAAGACTGAAGTAAAATAGTCCTATAATTTAAGTTGAAACATGCCCACACAAATCATATTCCTATAATGAAAACTGGCAAGAAAACATAATTTGTTGTTGAAAAGCTTAGTAATGTTTAGAATTAGGCAGTGATTGCTTATGTTCTAACTCTGATTCTAAAAGTTTCTCTTTTCTGAAACAACAAACACATTAGTTAAAAGACACATGAGTGCTACTATATTCTTCACATACACTCAGTGCCTGGTATATAATAAATATACAATGAATAATTCTTGAAGTAAATGCATAATTGAATAACTGAATAGTTTGCTTCTTGATGTTGTAGCATGTTGCACAAAGAAAAAATTGTGAAACAGAACTTGGATGTACTAGGTAAAGTCATATGTGCAATGCATTATCTACCTAATATATATGCATACTTTAATGAATGGAGAAGAAAGTAAAATTTATGAAAAATTTTTATCTCCAACTCATTAAAAGTAAAACTGGAGGGAAACGGAGCAGGAGTAAATTGGATACTCTTGGAAGTTCTATTGGCAATACTTTGTTGCCATACAACAGCCTGAAAAAATCTGAAAACACAGGCCTAGAATATGCTAGTATTTCTTTGCTATAATGAGAAAATAAATAAATAAATTATACAGTGACAAATGTGCTTGGTTCTTCTTCAGGATCTTCTGTTTTCAGCTGGTCCAATATCCTGAATTCTGACAATAGAACTGTCATCATTCATTTCCAAGCCTCTTTGGAACTTGTTTTTATTCTTTTCTCTCCACTTTTAATCCTCAAACTTGTTTTATTATCCATTCAATTTCTATAAATATTTTATATATTTCTTAAAGTGATTTCATTGTTGTCCTTTGTTAAGCTTAGTCTCATGGGCTATATCCTGTGGTTAGAGAAAATGACAAATTCAAATTACAAGTAATTTTTTTTCTATATAGAAGTAAGTAACTGGAAAAAAGACTAATAAAAGTTTCCTTCAATCTTCAACAGATTATGAAATAGATATAATTTACATTCATGTTATTGTGTAAAAAACTGAGACCGAGACGTTATCAGTTCTAACCATGTTTTGAACAATATGCAATACTTCTGAATTGTGTTCTCTAATTAGGAAGGTATGGATCAGAGAGCATACGCACGCATTGCCAAGCTTTTTCAAACTGCATTGCCAATTACAGCGAATTAAATTTGTTGCATACCAAAAATTATTAGCGCCGTAACAAAGAACTATGAAATTGCTTTTAATTCTAATGTCTTTTAAATTTTTGTTTGTTTTAAACTTTCATAGGTCACATTTTCTATCTACAATGCAAATGTCCAAAAAGTACAATGCTATAATCTAATAATGCTTCTTTATTTCATAATATCTCAATTAAAAGATACTTATGAGGGACATAAGATGGTTATAAAAGTATAAATAATTTATAAGCAAATTTTTTTTCATGAAAATGTAATAGTATTTTAAACAATTATATTGTTAGTTAAATTCAGCTTAGATTTTAAAAATACATTTGGATAACCCTGTCATATGGCAGCAGAGCAGTGAGGGAAGGGGCAGAAAAGTAAACTAAGTAAATAAAAAATTAGTTTTGAGATGAAAATTGGCTTGTAGAAAATCCACAAAGTCACCAACAAGTAAATAATCAAAAGTTCACAATACTACTTTACATTTGGAAGCCACACTATACTTTAACTAAATGATTTCATATGAATCAGCTGATTCAATTCTTCAAACAATATTGTCATGTGGTATTTATTATTTTCATCTGAAATGATGTATCAAAAACTCAGAAAGTCAAAGAACTTGACCAAGGCCCACACTGGTGGGTAAGCTGCTCTGATCTGACTTTTTCTGTATGACACACTCACTCTGCCAACATGTAAACTCAGTACAACACATTTTTATTGTTGTACTCTTGTTCTCCCTTTCCTCTCGGCCACCAAATCCATGAGGAAGCATACTTAAGAGACGATACATAAAATACATGGAATCTCCTCAGGAAAGGGCCCTGTATATGTTAAAATATTCATTTCTTGAACACTAGTTTTTTATGTAATACTTGTGATATCTCAATATTGCAGTAGTCTTATGAGGTAGACTTCTCATTATTTTAATTTTCAAATGAGGAAACTGAGGCACAAAGAGCATGGCTGTATGGTTAATAAGTGGTAGAGTCGGGATTCAAATCCAGCTTTCGATTTCACTCAATGATTATCAATAATATACAATTATTGTATATATCTCTAGAGCCCAACATGTAGAAAGAACTCGACCAATATTTGTTCTGTTTCTGGGCAACGAATAAATAGAAGTATGGCATTTTCAAAGAAAGACATTGGCTGACACAATGCTAAATGTTATCATCCCTTGACAATGAAGATTAAAAGCATCACTCAAGAGAAGATACGATAAATCAGGGAAAGAGAAGATAAATCAGGGAAAGATGGGTTCCATGTTAGTTGGCTAAGGGAAATAAAATTTCTCTTAACACTGGAAACATACTTGCTCAACACCTCATGCTCTACAAATTCTTATTGTTATGAAATGATAATACTCTTTCTTCTTCTATTTCATATCTACCAATAAAATATAGAAGCTCTTCAGTACATAGAAACTAGATCTGTGAAGTTCATTATATTTTTTGGTGTACTGCATATCAAAACTTCTGACAGACATCTGTCTCTTTCAGTAAATAAAGTGCTAATCCTTTATTTAATGAGACAGGAGTAATCTCTGCAGCTTCGCTTCTAAATTATGTTTTCCAAGTAAAGCCTATGCACCAGTGAATAAAAGTGTGGCACACAGCACCTTGTATTACAATGCCTGTATGTAACGTGTTTTCAAAGCGAACACCTCCTAATGAATTTCATCCTAGAGTGTGTAGAT